TAATAACGCGATAATTTTGACAGCACTAGTATGTATATATATGTATATATGTATTTGGTTTCCATCTCAAGCAAAAGTTTGAGCATATTCAATTTGCTTTTATAACAAATTGGAAATTATACAAAACATAAAGAGAAAGTTTATGTTATCTTTATATAAGAAATGATTTAAAGATATTTGTATCTATGACTTAATAAGAAGCTTTGTTATTGGATTTTCTGACATCGTGCAGCATCGGTCTACATATGAAAACTGGAATCAAGAAGATAGGTACAAAATCAAGGTTTATTTTTCTTTTGTAGTAATATATACTTGCTTGATTGCCTTCTTTGAATTATAAAGACAAAACAAACCCTTTAAACATGAATTCCTTCAATCGTGACAGCACAAAGCAAATCCCCCATTAGACAACCTTCTGACCAAGTCCTCATTATTCAACCCTAATTTCCTCCATTTTTAAATTAAAATCGGATCATTACATAACCCATTAAACTTCCTTTTTCATTAAACGTATCAATAATTAAGTCTAAACGCTGTAAGACAGCAAGAAGATTTTTCTTCTGACTCATAGGCCACTTTTTTCCCTTTCACAGCTAATAGGCTGTATTATTGGACGCCAGGGAACCAAAATAAATGAGATTCGACAGATGTCTGGGGCGCAGATCAAAATTGCGAATGCCATGGAGGGCTCATCAGAGCGGCAGATAACCATCACAGGGACCCCTGCTAACATCAGCCTGGCTCAGTATCTCATCAATGCCAGGTAACGTTTCAACCTTAACAGCTGGACTCCAGTTTAACATGAAAAATAAAAGCAATGTCTGCAGAAAATGTTGCCTTTTAAGTAGAGATTTGTTTTTATGTATTTTTTTTTCTTGACACACAAATACATCAAGTATTCTTGATTTGATTCCTGCCTCTAATTCTTTATCTCAGTGATTCTGCCGTCGTCCCATGAAGTCCTTCGATAAAGAGTTTCTCACCTCTGGTTTTAACCAAGTGTGAAAATGTAAATTAGACAATTTGCTGTATACGGGTTTGTTATTATTAAGTCTTCATGGAGTCATGCCAGCTGCAAAGACAAGCTGATGCTTGAAGCAAAACCTTCACCTTCATGAATTAACAAATTAAAAAGAAATTGTGACATGTTCCGCTCCCTTCTGAGTTTGAAAAGTTACATACACAACAGTGAAAAAAGTTTTTGAGGGATAGTTAAGTAGCTAATATAATTTAGAAGATAATTCAACTCCTAATTAGCCTTAGCTAAAGATAATTTACAGTTTCAGTAAGCAGAGCTTTGTGTTTTTGACTTCTTTAGAAAGATTTCTCCATCCAGGTTCTAACATGCTTTCTCACAACTCCAACGGCAGGTTCAGGGACGTGGCCGCCATGTGGAATGACCCCTCGTCCATGACTACATCCTGAAGGCAGCCACAATCTGGCTCTTACAGTTTCACCTTTATTCAAAAATCCATTATTAGCTTCGAACCATAAAAGTACTTTGTTAAAACCCGTTTCCTGTGTATTGATGTAACAATACTTTGACATTCTGAGAAACTTGCTTATTGAGTGTTTGAAAGAAGATAAACATACGAAAAAAAGACATCTCCAACTAAAGTCCTTATTAGCTTAGCATGGGTTAGCCTTTACGATATAGAAGAATCATAAACATATTAGTTTATGTGCCCTAAAAATGTTTTCATTGCAAAATACAATGTCTGTCCAAAAAAGTCACATGGTTGGAGGTTTGATTGACCTGCATTTAGCTTTAATAGGTGCTTGCATTGGCTGTGGCATTGGTTCAATAAGTTCCTGCAATAATACAGGAACTTATTGAACCAATGTGTGGCAAGAGGTCTCCTTGTAACTGATGTATTGTTGGGTAGTAATTCAATCATACAACTATCTAGTCTTGCTCTGATTGCGCAAGTTCCCCTACTTAGAAAAATGAGAGCTCTGTTGTTTTCATTATGGTTACACCTCAATGAGAGAGACAAATTAAAGACAAAAAAAAATCCAGAATAATTATAGTGTAGGATTTTAAGGAATTTATTTGTAAATAATGGTGGAAAATATGTATTTAGCCAATAACAAGAGGGCAACGCAATCCTTTTAAGTATTACTTTTGTTAGCACTGACATAGGTCAAATGTTTCCTATAAGTTTTAACCAGGGTTTACGCACACTCTAGCTTGTATTTTGGCTCATCCCTTCATGCAGATCTGTTCTAGGGCAGTCGTTTATTTGCCGTTGTGACAGGGCAACACCGATTTTCCAGACTTGAGGCCTTGAGACGGGCTAGGCCATACCTGGACCTTAAAATGTTTTATATAGAGTTGCTCTTTCACTGCTGTGTGTTTTGGATCATTGCTTTGCTGGAAGACCCTGTCACATTCAGTCACTAGATGGAAGGAGTTTTTGACTTAAAATCACACAACACAAATCAGTCGCTCTGTCCCCTTTGCAGAAAAACAGCCTCAAAGCTTGATCTTTTCAACTCCCATCCTTCCCAATAGCTATGGTTTTCTTGGGATGCAACTCAGCATTCTTGTCCCCCAAATACGAATAGTTAAGTTTGTGCCAACATTTTTATGTCATTTGACCACATGATATCCTCTCAATCCTCTTCTAGATCATCCATATGCTCTCTAGCAATCCTCAGACGGGCCTTGACATGTACTGGCTAACGCAGGAAGACACGCCAGGCAATGAAGGATTTGAGCCTCTCTCTGAGTAGTGCATTACTGATGGCAGTCTTTGTTACTTTGATCCCAGCTCTCTGCAGGTCATTCATCAGGTCTCTCCCTGTAGTTCAGGGATTTTTGTTCACTTTTCTCATGATCATTTTGAGCCCAGAGGATGAGATCTTGTGTAGAGATCCAGATCGAGGGAAATTATCAATGGTCGTGTCTTCCATTTTCTTCCAATAGATTGCACAGTTTTTGTTTTGTTTTTTCACAAGGACCTGCTAGCTTGTTGTAGATTCACTCTTCCAGCCTGATGCAGGTCTGCAATTTTCTGTCCTTTGACAGCTCTTTAGTCTTCCCCATGTTTGAGCTTGGAGTCTGATTTTTGAAGCTGAGGGCAAGTGCCATTAATACTGTTATGAGAGCAGAACAGAAGAGCTTCTTACAGAAGAAGTCACATGTCTGTCAGGGGCAGATATCTTGTTTGTGTGTGGGTGATCAAATACGTTTTCCTTCATCAATTATAAATAAATTCTTTAAAAATCCTTTTCCGTTGTACTTCAATCAAGATGATTGACAGAACATCCTTTATGTAATGAAGGTTTAGAGATATGGCGAAGGGCCTGGCCTTCCAAGGAAGCTCGGCATAGAGACACTGTTCCGCCATATCGAAAGCATTATCTAAAGTTGATTTAGTCAAATATGTTTTCAGATACCTCCTGGATGTCCCATTTGGGACTTCAAGCACATGACACTGGGAGGAGGTACAGGAGATGACCCAGTACACAGTTGAGAAACTGTGGCTGGTAGTGTCTGAGCAAAGAAAAGTTGGGAGGAGGTATTTGCTGAGACTTCTGTCTCTGCAACCCAGTCCCACATAAAGCAGAGGATGCCGAGCACAAGTATATATTACTATCCAAAGAGTCTCTTACCTCATTATTGAATTGGTTTTAGGCAGGCAGTGTGTGACATTCATAAGATACAAAATGTTCCCTTTGTTTATTTTTGTGATCAATTACAAAATCTTTCTCCTTTAGGTTTCTTTTGCTTGCTGAAATCTTGGTGAAAACTGTGCAGATAAATGTGTTTTTGAAAATGTCAAAGTATATTTTCTTTGCTTAGCATGTAGGAGTCATGAAGGTATTTTCTGTGGGTCAGTTCTATCATAGGTAAACTTACCGTTTCATTGTATTCAAATACTAAAGAAAAAAATACAATTAAAAAAAGTAAAATCAAAAAGTTAAGAAAAAAGGGCAGAAACAGTGATTTAATGCTGTTAGAAATGAGATTGATGTGATGCTTCTTTCTGGTACAGCAGCTTTTCCTTCTCCAATCGATGCATGACCTCATCAGATATAACGTCCAGTTTGTTCATACCAGCAGATTCCAGACAGCCATTGAAGAATAACTTTCACTCTTCAGCGAAAGTTACCTTTTCACACTTTATTTATTTCTGTCCCCCACCTCCTTACCCCTCCCCCTTTTCTTTTTAACCGTTCTCAGGCTGACGTCTGAAGTCACTGGGATGGGCACGCTCTAATTTCCACTCATCCTCTTCCGTGCATCACATGAGCTCTGAGTAAACGGCACTAAGCGTGATTGTTGACCTCTGACCATTCTGCTGTTTCACCTGATAATTTATTGTAACGTTTCACATCATTCCAACTCAACCTCAGCCCAACCTGAAAATCTTTTTTCTTTTTTTTTTCTTTAAGCCCTTTGGACTCTACCCTTTTGGTACTTTTGATGGCATGCTATGCTGAGTTTCTGTTTTTATCATTCTAGTTTTATTTTACTTCAAACCAACACTAAAAACACTGAATGAAGACTGGCACTACCTTTCAGCCCAACGTCACAATTCCCTTTGCTTTGATCCATTTGTCAAGTTCTTACAAATGTTCTGATGTTTTCCTAAATCAAGTTGACAGATGCAATGGGTGTTCTTGCAGAAATGTTTGCTTGTATATCTTAGTAACAGTTTGCATGACTCAGCATTTTAGATTTATTTTAAAGTCAAATGGAAACAATGAAATGCAGGTTGGAACTGCATACATCTGTCAGATTCTTTTTATTAAAACTCTAAAAATGGAAGTCTATACATTTTTAAAAGGAGTTTCCATTAGTTTTATGTGAAACCTGGAAAATGAAATCATGTCACCTAAATGACTGCAGCAGAGAGTAAAATTCAATAAGCACCATTGCATTGCCTGTACTCCATCATGTTCTTGATGCTGTTGTAATATTACCTCTGTATAATAGACCAGGACTTTAGGGAGAAGTCTGCTGTGTTGTATTTGCACTCACGGAGAGAACTGATACACATTGGTGACTGTGGAAATCTCCGGGGTGGTGGGATTTTCTTTTTCTGTTGCGTTTTATCGCCACATGTGCTTAAAAGCTAAGAAATTATTTCTTAAACAGAATATGTAGCGGTGTGTTTTTCTTATACATGATTTAACTTTAGTATTGTTTTGAATTTTTGAAACATTAATCAGTTGCTGGGAATATAAAATATGAATACCACTTCTCTGTTTCATTGCTGGATTTACTGTAAGGTTGTCTTATGAAAAGAAAAGGGTGGGCAGAGTTTTATTTTCAGTCAAAGCTGAATGTATTAGGGAGGTTTATTCTAATTACTCGTCTGATTTGGTTCATTTGCTCTTATTCAATCAGGAGAAAAATCTTGCTTAAAAATCTGATTATCATTATTTCAATGTGAAGATATACTGATTAAATATGTTACCCTTTGTTCATCCGTCTATGTAATTCAATTCAAATATACTTTTTTAATCTCAAAGGGAAAATAAATGTTGCAGTAGCTCATGACCATCCATCCATCCATCCATCCATCCATCCATCCATCCATCCATCCATCCATCCATCCATCCATCCATCCATCCATCCATCCATCCATCCAT